TCCCCCCCCTGTAGTTTGAGAGGCAGTCAAGGGGTTGTCTAACCCTGTTCATTTCCTCATCATCGAGGAGCCCCTCAATAAACTCCCTATTGTCCGTAGTCACAAAAACATCCGCCCCCCCCCCGAGGTCTCTCCCGAAGAGGTTGTAGGAAAGCCCCTCAGCCACCAAAGGTCTGATCTCCCCCTTAGTACCATCTGGGTCCTGCCAGCAAAGCCAGTTCTTAAGCTCCCATGATGGCATGGTGCTGCCGACACCCACCACCTGTGGGCCGGGCTCAAGGGGCCACCTTCTGGGGACTTCTTCCTTCCCCAGGATGGTCCTATCTGCCCCAGTGTCAATAATGCCCCAGAACCTCTGCCCATCAAGATGTCTTAGGGCGGAGCCCCGGGATGATAGGAACCATCCAGTGGGCGGTGGGCCCTCCAGGGCCTGTGAGCCCTCCCCCTTTTGGTGACGGGGCTGGGGGTTGCCCCAAACCTAGTTTAAAGGCTTGCCCTCCACATCATACCTGGAACGGCAGTCCTTTTTCCAATGAAACCCCTTGCGGCAGCCTGGTCATGGGGCCCTGGGCTTGTCCCCCTCCACCTTGAGAGGGGCTTTCCCTTGTGGCAGTCTCTCTTTAGGTGCCCAGGCTGGCTGCACCCAAAACATCAGTCCTCAGCCCTGGGGCGCCTATCCTGCAGCCCAAGGCCTATGAGGGCTTCTCTAAAGGCTGTAGCTAGAGCCTCTGTGTCTTGAGGACCGCAGCCATAGCCTCGGTCACCTTTGTTTTGGTCCCTATGTCCTTTGAGGCCACGATCCAGCTGTTCATGAAATGGTCCTTTAACCCTGCACAGGTGACCTTATGGTCGGCGTTCATACCATCCCATAGTAGCATTTTAATGAACTGTTCTCTGAGCGGCCCAGGGGGAAACTTTCTCCTTAGACTCTTTTCAACCCTATCTACAAACTCATGTAATGGTTCCCCTGAGCTTCGATGGATCCCCAATATGGGCGGCTCCATAGGGCCTATATCTAACTTATGCCAGGCCTTGAGGCCAAGAGCCCTGACCTGTTCCGTATATGGTGGCGGAAGTGCTGCCTGCTGGGCGCCCGTGGCAAAGGCATCCGTAGTCCCTGTCAGCATGCTGAAAGTGATAGGAACAGGAGGGTTGGCAGCACGGTTATTTTCCGCCTGGACCCAACATTCCTCTCAGTATAGTGCTGCCCATTTAATAAACAAGGGGCTGGGGAGGACTGCCTTGGCTAGATCCATCCAGTCTTTGGCCGTACAGGGTTGATATACCAAGCCCTGGAGAAGGGTGTTGACCCAGGGGGACCCGGGGCCGTCCTTGGCCACTGCCTTCTTTAATTCTTTAAGATCTTTAGCCTCCCAAGGGTACCAGGCAGCCAGGCGCTGGGGTCCAGGGTTGATGTTCACAGGGAAAGCCTGGACCAGTCCCATGAGAGCGGAGAGCTCTGCTCCCTCATATTCACCCCAACTGCCCAGGGTCCCCCCTTTTTCTCCCCCATTCTCGTCACCCCCCCTTTCTAGATCTCTCCATATATATGCTTTGGTTTCACTTTCAATCGTTGGGCTCTCTCCTCATCAAACGCGACCCATTGATCTTCCCTTACGACCTTATCCACCTGGCAAAGGCTGGTATGCCCAGGGGTCGGATCGGGTTGAAAACATGACTTAAGGGCTGAGATCACGGGGTAAAACCTCAAGGGTGGTTCCTCCCCTCTATTGATCTCTGCCTTGCAAGCCAGTGGGCAGCCAGGAGCGAGATGCAGGGCGGCCTCCCAGACCTTCTTTGACGAGGAATCAGATTGTTCTAACCCCCCACATCTCAACATTTGTCTCAGCACCATGAGCGCTGGGTCCTCACTTTTGCTGGTTGCATTACCCATCTCTTGGGGCCTCACTTCCCTTGGTACTCACCCAATTAGCCCCAGTGATCGGCTCCCATAGCGGGTCCAAGTGGGCTTCGAGCCCCACGTTGGGTGCCAGATGTCGGGGATCCTGCCCCGACACAGGAGCCGGGGAAAGGGAGGTGAGCTGTCTGCCTGTTACCCGCAGCCTCCCCGGGAGACAATCAGACGCGACAGGGAGCCAGTCAAGCAGAAACTCGTTTATTGCAGGTGTTACAGGGCTTATGAAGGCAAAAACCACAAAGGAAAATCCCCTCCCCAACCAAGAGTCCAATCATGTTAAAGGTCAACTTGAGCATGCAGTCTCCTCTCCATAGCACAGCATAGCATTCATGAAGTGATCACGTGCTGCCAATATTCACGGAAATTGCAAGAGCCAATCAGCGATTCTTCAAAACAAGTCTGGCCGCACCCCAGCCACTTCCTCTAGGCGCCAAACAAGTCTGGTCATGCCCCAGCTGTTTCCTCTAGGCGCCTTCTTGCCTTGCCCCTGGCCTCGGGCCCCCACATGGCAGGACTTTCTTTTTCTTTTTTTGATTTCTTATGTGTATGAGTGTTATGCCTGCATGTGTAAGTGCACCTGTATTGTGCAGTGCCCACGAAGGCCAAAAGAAGGCATCAGAGCCCCTGGAACTGGAATTACAGGAAGCTGTTAGTCACCATGTGGGTGCTGGAATTTGAACCCCGGTCTTCTGCAAGAACAGCCAGTGCTCTTAACCACTGAGGCATCACTCCAGCCCCAGGACTTTTTCTACCTTGGGCATATGGTGCTAGATGAATCTAATTCTTAGTTACTTTACCAGTCTCTGGTTGATAGTCATTTAGTTTTCAGTGAAGCAACAGAGATTCTTTTTTTCTTTTTAAAGATTTTTTATTTTAAGGATTTAATTTATATGTATACATGTTTGTAGGTATGCGCACGTAAGTGAAGGTGCCTGTGGAGCCAGGCGTTGGATCCCCCTTGGAGCTGGAGTCACAGTTGGTTGTGAGCCACCCAACATGGGTGCTGAGAACTAAACTTGGGTCCTGTAGAAGCAAGAGCAGTATGTGCTCCTAACCTTTGAGCGGTCTCTCCAGACCCAAGATTTTGTGTGCGTGTGTGTGTGTGTGTGTGCGCGTGCGCATGCATGCGTGTATGCGTGCACATGCACGTGCACAAGCATGTAAGTGTCTGCAGAGGCCAGAAGAGGGCATTGGATCCCCTGGAACTGGAGTTACAGGCAGTTATGAGGGTGCCGTGAACTAAACTCTGGTCCTTTACAAGAGTAATAAGCACTTTTAACCGCTCGGCCATCTCTCCAGCCCCAAGATTCTTTTATCTTGACCAAAGGTGTCAAACAATTGACATCTTTTGTATTATTGCATCATTCACAATAGCTCACACCTAGAAAAGGTGTTTTTGTATGACCCTTGTTTCCATCCCCCTTTGGAATTCTTGTGCATTGTCTGTGTCCTGCAACACACAGCATCTGTTTAATTTTTTTTTTCCCCATAATTTTCTATCTTTTTAATTTTTCCAAGTCCTGGGGTGATTCTTTCTCAGCTGTTATTCTTTAGGTGGGATTTATTGTATCCCAGGCAACTATTTTACAAGGTGGGGCAAGGGGGGGCTGTTCAGTGCACCTCAGAGAAACCTAACAGAGTGTAGACCCTCCCCCCTTTCTGAACCATAGATAGATCCTGATAGTGACCTTTAGCATCCATCCTATACTACACCTTGTGATAAAAGGGAGTGGTCAGGTAGCCATGTTGTCACACACACACACACACACACACACACACACACACATCTGAGTTTTCAAGAAATATGTCCTAAGAGTCTAAGAAGGTGTGAGTCTGTTCTTGTGCTCTGCTTGTTGGAGACATTGTCCACTGAACAGATAAACTTCTTCATTTGTGCTTTGGAGTTTTGGTCATCCTGTTCCTTTAAAAGATGGGCTTTTTATAGCTGCATGGTGATGCACATGCCTTTAATCCCAGCACTTGGGAAGCAGAGGCAGGTGGATCTCTGTGAGATCGAGGCCAGCCTGGTCTCCATAATGAGTTCAGTCAGCTGGGGCTTCAGAGAGACCCTGTCTCAAAAAAGAAAAATTGATGGGCTTTTATTTTTAGTCTTATTTTAGGTTATTTTCAGCACATTTCAAAGGAACACATCCTTGCAACAAAATTATTTTTCTCTTGACACAGTAACACTAATATTTTCCTCACATTTCACAGGCTGTATTTTTTTTCTGTTTAGCCACTTTTTTTTGTTTCTTTTTTTTGTTTTGTTTTGTTTTTTAGTTGGTTTTTTTGTTTTTTGAGACAGAGTCTCCCTGTAGCTCCAGTTGGCCTAGAACTCACTGTGCAGACCAGGCTGGCCTGTATCTCACAGAGATTCCCCTGCCCCTTTTTCTTAAGTGCTGGGGTCAAGGGTGTGCACCACCACACTGCTCCATTTATCCAGTTTATGGCATAATTGTTCCCAGAAAGAAAGGAATCCCTGTTGTCCTGACACCTCAGCAGTCTCTGATTAAACCTTTGTATAACTCCTAGTGTCCCAGTGTTGTGTTTAGATGTATATAGTTGAAGTTCCCATGGCGTCTACCACAGCATTTTGTGAAGGTTGAGTTGGTATGACAGCTGAAAGTTTAGTGTCTTCACCTGCTTTCTTTTGCTATGACAGACAACACAGACTGAATAATTGACAAAGAAAAGAAATTGATTTCTTACAGTTGGTTCAAAAGGCTTTTGAGACATCTGTTGAGCCCCTTCTTGCTACATTATAACATGGCAAGAGAACACTGGAGAGGGAAGAGGACGGGATGAGAGAAAGCCAGCTTGCTGAATTTGAATTCACTTTATAATAAAGCTATTCCCACAGAAATGGTGTTGTCCTCATGGCCTACTCATCTCTAAACTTCCCACTTTCCAAAGCTGTCACGGGCAGCTAGGTTTCATTGTGTCCTGGGTTCCATCACCAGTACACAAAAAATGTGACCGAAGTTTTGGAGTTTGGAGGGAACATTCATATTACACCATTTATTTAATCAGATTTTTATGAGTTCTAAACTAAAGGCTGATTATTTTGTTTTCTCTCTGGCAGGACCACAAGCAGACGGTGTCACTATGCACTTGAACAAGTTATCCACTTAGGTGTAAAAGGTACCTTTGTAGAATTGTAGCATTGCATCTTCCTAGAGTATTTTTACAGGTTTCATGTAAAATTGTGTGTACACCTCTCTTCAGTCATATGATAGAATTAAAAAACTATGTGACAGCCACATGTGTTTACTTTCCTCTCGGGAAGTTTGTGCTTTTTCACTATTCTGACTGTGTAAAAATAGCACACTTAAATAATTTAAAACAAATGCTCTCTGCATTGCACTGCTCCTCGTAATGTAATTCATTTTTGTTCTTATACAGAGATAAGTAATGACTCACTGAAAAGAATATGCAGTATAGATGTAATGCTAAAATTAGAAAAGGGTGCTCCAAAAGAAATAGAGCAACATACGGACTATCTTAGAGTCAGTCACAAATACTTAGATTGCCTCCGTTTGTATTTTTAAACAATATATGACCTTTCACCTTTTCTTTTTTTAAAGTATTGTTCCCAGAAGAAATCATTTTACAGTCTCCACAGGTGACAACAAGTTGGAGCCTTACACAGGACACCAAAAGTGAAGGACAGTCCATCACCAAGGTAGTGCTTTGATTACTTTGATATATTTAAATGGATAATATTAATTCACTTCCAGATGTATTAGCTCTCACTGGGAGTGTTAGAGGAATGTCATTCACAAATGATCCAAAGTCTCAGTTAAAATAAAACTAAAGTATTCATAAGGTACATTTAGTGTAAATTTATATACAGTTATATATGGGTCCAGGATCCTATAAACAAGGAAGACTCAAGATACAGGTGTTTGAATGATCCTGTTTTATTTTTAAAACCTTGGGCTTTGAGACTGGGTATGGTGACACATATCTTTGATCCCAGCACTCAGGAGGCAGAGACAGGTGGATCTCTGTGAGTTTGAGGTCAGCCTGATCTACATAGAGAGTTCCAGGCCACCCAGCACTACTTAATGAGATCTTGTCAAAAAAAAAAAAGAAAGAGAAAATGGTATGCTTTTTATATAGACCTAGGCAGGTACATCTGTGTGACTGTGTATATAGAGAATGTCTGGGAGGACACAGACCCAAAACTTCATCTGCATTTGTAATCTGTCAGTATTACAAAGACACTTTATCTCTATACCTCTACAATCCAGTCATTCTATAAATGGTAATGTAGTACCTGTTCTGAGCCAGGTACTATGCTAGTCTCAGCATATTTTTTGAATAAAAGTATTCGTTCTTTGTTTAGGGAGTGTTTTTGTTTGTTTTGATTTTGAGACAAGAGTCTCACTTTGTAGATCAGGCTGGCCTCTATCTCACAGAAATCCACTTGTCTCTGCTTCCCAAGTGCTGGAATTAAAAGTGTGAGCCATCATGCTGGCAAAGTTACTGTTTTTTTTGTTTTGTTTTGTTTTGTTTCTTATATATTCTTTTTATTTTTTAGAAGAAGCATTTCATTACAGCTTTAACATACTCAAAAACAGTTTCCAGAGCAAAGATACATCTCTTTCAAAAGTGGCTATAAAAGTTTCTAGGTTCACAGTTGAATTAATACAGTTATACAATATTGAACTCAGTTTAAGTCCTGTACCCTATAAGATTGAGTGAGTTTTTAACCTTTAAAACAGATCTCCATTTCATTTTAAAATATACTGTTTCTTACAGAAAGACACATTGTTTTTGCTAACAACGCTGTGATGTTGGCACATGTGTCTCTAATCTGTATGTATCTGATTATTACTAGTCGTTTCGGCACCATTTGATAGGTAAAAGTTTGGGGTGGAGAGCGAGCAAATGGAGGAGGCACCGAGGTACAGATAGAACTCTCAGCGGGATACAGCTTTATTTCGCACAGGACATGTTTCCCTTGGGGAAGGGAAAGATGTCAGCCCACGGGTTGTGAGCTGGGACTTAAATATGGGGGCTTCAGGGTGCAGAAGGGGGGAGAAGTTTTGGGGAAAAATCAAGCAGGGGGAAGCAGGAAAAGCAGGGCTTGTAAACCTGGCTCTGTTCAGTCTGCCAGGCAGGATCTGGGTCTGGAAGTGTTTACTTTTTCCCTCTTAAGATAAGGGAAAAGCTGCTGTGTTAAACAGCTTCTAAAATCTCTGGTTAACAAGTAGAATCTGCTTGTCTTTGGAGATCAGAGGAAAGGCAGGCTGCTTCTCAGCAGAGTTTGTTTCCCTTGACTTCAAAGGCCAAGGTGCTTGTCAGCTCAGTTCCCTTTTTCAGGCTCCAAAAGTCCATAGGTCCCTGTTGGGGAGGGGAGAAGCTGCTGCTGTTTGGAACCCTAATAGTCATAATCCATTGCACTCGGATCCTTGGCACCTGTGTATGTCTATAAAGGCATCAGGTAGATTTCAGTGGTAATGTTTGTTACCTCTACTAATTAACATGACCTAAGTTTTTATGCTTCCTCCTCAAATATAATTCATTTTTTTAAATTTGTTGGTTTATCAAAAACACAGAACATCCCAAACCATCTTATTCATCTATATACCCACTTCCCAGATGGCACCCTCCCATAGCTCCCCCCACACACTAGAGCCCTTATACTCTGTCATCCCTGCTACTGTCCACTGTGTTGTCGGCACCCCCAGCCATTCCCCACTACTTGTCCATCTGGTGAATCTAGTCAGCCTATCTAGAGGGCTTTGTTTTAGGAAGGTCAGCTGTTCCTCATCTAGCAGCAATCAGTTGTCAATATTCCTTTAAAGATTGGGGTCTGCTGTTCATTTTCCCAGTTCTATGCTGGGTTACTATCTGGGAGTCCCTTGGACCACCCTGGCCAAGAACTCAAAAGAAGGTATCTCCTAACTAGCATTGTTGCTTGTTACATAGCCTTTACCTATACATATGGCCTCTTAAAAAATTATATTGGCCCCTTTAATCTTTGGTTATACTTTCCTTTTGGGTATTTAAGACCATACATTTGGCCCAGATAAACCAATTTATTTTTACTCTTAAGGTCATTTGAGCCCCTGGCTCCTTTCTTTTACTACTTCCGCCTATGTGGAGATAAGTCAAAGGTCCTGCTTAACCATGGCTGACTTTGCTTGGAAGCATGGAAGAAATGATTCCTCTGTGTTGACCCTCCTCTTTGTAGACTGGGTGCCAGTTCAGGTCCATCTCATGAGGTCTCCACGGCCTCCTTGATCAAGAGGACAGGTGACCCGCCACAATTACAGGACATTTTGAGAGATGCTCATAATCCCCTGGAATTAGTTGACCTAGGAGGGCAAGGAGCAAAAACTGTCTGACCAAATTAGTATAGGCCTCAAAGTATGTCTGTTAAACATCCAAGAAGTTTAGTTCCACCAGTCTGGTACTTTTAATTACTGTGTGTCATGTAGATAAATCTTGGGCAAAGACCAGTTGTTCTCAGATAAACCTTGCCTAGACATATATTTCTCGATCTGGTATGTATAATTTGTCACTAGGTTGTTTGACTAATATGGTTCCCTCTGGGTTTGGGGTTTGTTTTTTTTTTTTTGTCTTTTTTGAGACAGGGTCTCCTTGTAGCCCCAGCTGTTCTGGAACTCACTATGTAGATCAGGCTGGCCTTGAACTCACAAAGATCCACCTGCCTCTGCCTCCCAAGTGCTGGGATTAAAGGCATGCACCACCACACCCGGCTAAACAATTTTTTTTTGGTCTTTTTGAGACAGGGTCTCCCTGTAGCCCCAGCTGTCCTGGAACTCACTATGTAGCCCAGGCTGACCTTGAACTCACAGAGATCCACCTGCCTCTGCCTCCTAAGTGCTAGGATTAAAGGCGTGCGCCACCACGCCCGGCCTCCCTCTGGTTTTTAAAACTAGCTAGACATTATTTATCTCTCGAATTGTCTAACCCCTCCATCATGGTTTCCCCAATCAAGGTACTCCCATTTCCCCCCTTTCTCTCTTAATAGTACCCTTCTCCTATGGTCCCATCTCTCTTGAGCTCCTTCTTTCCCCCTTATCCCCTCGGTTCCTTGTATACCCTTCCCTCTCCCCTCCTTAAATTAACCCAATTTTTATCCATATCTCCCTTATTAAGGCCTGTTTCCTACTGTTCTTCTCTTTCAGGTTCTTTCTTTTCCTTTACCTCCCTGGTTCCTTTCCATTATCCTGGTTCCTGTAGTTATGTCTGGATACATATTCATTTATCAGGATTTGGTTCTAGGATCCACATATGAGGAAACAACTCCAAGAGCTGGATCTAAAAAAAGATAAACAAGATTGACAGACCGCTAGCCCAGTTAAACAAAAGAAAGAAAGAGCACCTCCAAATCAACAAAATCAGGAATGAAAGGGGAAACATCACAACAGACACCAGAAAGATACAGAACATTATAAGGGAATACTTTAAAAACCTATATGC